CATCCATGAAAGATCTTGGTATATGGTACCTGTAAAATGGAAATTACACCATAGATAGGTTTAGTCTCGAGTTTTATCGCAAGTTAATGTTATGAACACTTACTCTAATTGAGTTGGCTCTCCAAGTGGGGAAAGGAAAGATATCCAGTATCTCCCTACACCTTTCCCATTCACCCAAATCAATCCCTTTCCCATTCCTTTCATTCTAATCGCGACCGTGTTTTCTCCTTCTGGTGTCTCAAAGTAAGTCTGCAAATCCATTGATTATGACAAAATATTGTGTAGACACTAGAAGAAACGTTTTTCTTGAGTTAATAATGTTTACCTTGTACCACGTAAGAGGCTTACGTTCACCATCTTTCTCCCATTTCACCTTCTTAGATCCTTCTTCTGTGTATACCTCTTTCTTTTCACCTTCTAAACCGGCCTTCAATAATCAAATTAAACTTCATTACATTACAAATGAAAAACAAACCTCTCTTTTTAAATATAAAATTGATATGTTTAGTCATTAATTATACCAAATGTCCCCATTCATTGGTCTCGGTTAAATCTCGCGTTCCCGACTTCAAACCGATGATCGAAATACTACGTGGACCGGCATACCTTTTCTCCATGTATGATCCACTATCCTGAAGATTACAACACCTACAATGTCATCTATTTGTTTGGTGTGACATATATAATCTCGATCTTGAATGTTTCCAATTGTTGTATACTCACAGGTAATCCGGTTAGTACACCCAAGATTGAAATGTAGTTATCTCCGGTTTTAAGATTAAGTGGTTTTGTGAACACGAAACTCTTCATTTCATGGCTCCCATGCTCATTCCCTAGAAAAAAATATCGCATAAAAAAGGTTACATAAAACTCTCTCTCTGTCTGTATTATTTTACCTTAATTAGTGTTAATAAGCACCTTGGTATTCTCCATTAACGTAAACGATTATTGCATGACCAAGACTTGCTACTTTCAGCATCGTCTTAACCTTTTTTTGGTCCGGCAAGTCATCTTCTTCAATCTTTATACTGTAAACATGTAATCATTACTCACAAAGGCCTCACTTTTAGTTAAAAAGACAAAACAAAATGTTGCTTGTGAAAGAAGTTACCTTGTGGTATACCAAGCATAATCTGTTTTATCCTTGGTTAGGTAATAAAGCTCCGCCGGAATCAAGGAATCACCGTCGAGTTTCGAAGGAATATTCTCACTATACGTCTCAAACTTGAGACCTTTGCTCGTCTTCTCCGACTTCACATAGTTCCTCCAACTGTGCTGCGCCACAATCTGTTTCAGGGACAATATTCAAAAATTCCGGTTCTCTAAACCAAACCAAACCAAACCAAACATTGAGCTTACCTGTGCAGTGTTGTAGACGACGGTTTTACAATCAGGTAAGATGCTGATGGATCGAGACGGTAAGACGTAATCTTGACCTTTGAATTTAACTGTATTAGATTCTCTTGTGTTATTGTTTGCTAAGAAAGCTGCACAGACCTTAGTCCCTGGCTGCTCGTAGTACCTAACCTGCAAAAAACAAAACCGGACCGTTTAAGCTCTGGTTAACGTGAACCGGATTGAGATTGTTTCGTTCAGGTGACCTCGGTATCGGGACCAAGTTTCTGAGCACGAGGATGACCCCACAAAAGTGCCTTCTTGCACAATTCAAGTGCTCTGTGTACATGTTTCAAGTGACCGTATTTTGGTTCCTTCTCCATACCTATAAAAACAATCATGAACTTGTAGTTACGATCTAAAACCGGGACTGGTTTAGCTTTTCAAGGTCTGGTTCTACCGTATTCGTCAAGTGGCGCATCGTCGTAGTAACGAGTTGTGACGAAATGAGCAGACGTGCGTCCGAAGTTTGTTCCACCATGGTACTGTACAGAAACAGAGTTATAATCTACATAGACATATAGATGTTAATTAAGTACACATATAATGATATTAACGTACCATGTAGTAGTTGACATGAGATCCGTTCTTAGAGAAGAATCTAGCAACTGAAAACGCAATGTCATCCGCTGTTCTGTGTGTTGGAGGATCCCCGAAAACTCGAAACCTAGACACAAAAAAGGACC